GGAGGGAGCTCTTGTGCATGCGTGTGTTACGGCATCGCAATAGTCACTTTGTTAGAGGATACGCGCGCGCGCGCGTCTCCCCGTAAGCGTGCGCTCCAGTGCGTGTGCGCGTGAGCATGCGTGCGTGCACGCGTGTGTGTGTGAGCGCGCGCGTGTGTGTGAGCTAGCAGCTGTGCCGCGCTCCATTTGCCTGCGCTTTAGTTGCTGTTCAAATGGCAGCTCCCCTCCTGTGACGGATCTTGATGGCACAGACACAAACAGCTCATTATGCACTCGCCAGCGTGCATTCGTGCGCATACGCGTTGCAGGCAAAAGCCATTGGTTTACTGCCCACTGCATCGCATCATCGGCCCCACACCAAGCCGCCTTGCAGTCTCTGTTATGGAAATAAGTTGCTCTCGTCTGACATAAACCAACACAACGCGATGTTCTGTAACTACAGTAGGTGGTTGTATGAAATTCAATAAAAATATTTTAATGGATTTATTGAAATATGAAACTACAACTATAAATGTAGCAATGATGCTTATGCTGATCGTTTAAATGTCGCTGAACCTATAGCCTACATTTGTATTAAAAATATCTCACTTAGTTTATTTTCAAACAAACCTAACAATATTTGAAATGTAGCTACAAACATACATTTTCAGTATTTTAATTTACAAGAAAGCAAATGACACCAGTAATCAATGCAAGACATTATCGACTGAAAACACCTTGCATATTTTTTAAAATGTTATTATTTCGCTTATAAAATTTCCCTTAAAATTAGTTCCATTTTCTTGGGCAACTGCTCGCTACTCAAGGATGTCATTTCACAAAGACAGACAAGCCTTCGTAATGGCTCCTGCCTTCTTACAAGCAGTGTGATGGAAAGCTTCTATCCAATAACGAAGCACACACACACGCTGGATACAAAGGAAGCCATTACAGGTCAAAGAACACCAGGAGCAAATTCAATGGGAATATATTGTAAACCCTGATACCATGTTCTTCAAAATATACAATGGTTAATCAGGCAGCAAAATAAATGGAATCCTAACACATTTTTTTCTTCCCTTCTTCTACAATAACAGAATATATTTTCCTTCAGCACAAAAATCTAATTTTCTGTATCATTACTCCCAAAAAACCCACACAATTTGTCAGTCATTTTGTAAAGCAAATGGAATTTGTATGCTACATATACAGTATTCATAAACTGGTCCAAAAATCCCACAACTTAACGGTGGATTATCACATTAAAAAAGAATGAACAATTGCTGAAGTTAATAAAAATGTTTAAAGTTCTTTTCAAACATACATCAATGGTACTTCTGAAAAATGCCTCTTCTCTATATTTTCGTTAATGAAACAGAAAATTATATGTGCATTACTCCTAAACATTGCACATTTAATTTGTTCACTTTACAGTACGTCACAGAGGATTAGCCTACATTTGAAACGGTTGTGTTTTCCCCTATGGAATAGATCAGCTATTATTGATGTCTCATTAATATTTATTACTGATTTCGGAAATTCAAACACAACGGCAAATGTCTCCTGCTACAGGGGTATCAAGCCACCTCTGGCAATATAACAACTCACCAGAAAACACTTGAACCACATTAAACAGCCTCTCGTAATGCACAATATGTAAGGCACTGTCGAAAGCGCAGACACGAGAGATGTCCTCACAAGAAGCACTTCAAACAAATACAGGAGAATATGAGAAAATCAAAAGCTAAAATTTTCTGTCACCTCTTTTATTATGGGTTTATTTAAACTGCTGAAGCAGGCCTTAACAAAAGGAAACTTCAAGCTGTCTTGCGCCATCTCCGTCTCTCGGTGCGGGCGGGCTGGGCGAACGCATGAAGCAGCAACAAAAGCAGATGCCTCACAGAAACCATGGCAGCATGCCAAACTCAAAGCCCTCATTTCATCCACAAGCGCCCAAATGGCCGCGCCCAGTCATGTAAATTACGACGTGTATGGCGGTGCAGCCCAAACACAGAGGAAGAAATTTGCAAAAGTGTGCACCCCTAAGAGTGCAGATTCCTCGTGTGTAAACACACAACGTCTGAACACTGCACATTTGTGTTTCCACTAATAGGACTTTGGGCATGGCTAACGGCCAGACTGTGGTGTGGAGAGAGCAGCAGTAATTAGGGGGGTAAGTATCACTGCGTCCACAACCAGTTATTTTGAGAGATTTTCAGTTCAGCTGATTGCAGCAGCACTGTTTCAGCAAGGTCACTCGAGACAGACATTAGTTTCTCAACCTCTCAATGGAACTCAAATGTGTTAAGCATAGCTTGCAAGTAAAACACAATGGCTGCAAGTTATTTATAATTGATTTAAAAAAAACATTTATTTAACAAGCTGCCATTTCAATAATGAATTTATTACAGTTTACGGCACAACTGCCAATTAACTATTTATTCAATTACTGTTTGATATACAGTGAATATATATTTTTAAATTCGCTGTCAGCGTGAACAAAAATTACGTCCGGTATGTATAGCAACAGAAGAGCCACAAATATTAGTTCAACTCATTAACCCACTCAAAATATTTGCGTCAATGTTTGCCTAAAACAGAGGGGGGCGAGCGGGGGGGGGGGGAACCCAAGCAGCAGGGCACTCTATAAGACATAGTGAGCATCTGGGGCACAGCGCTAATCACTGCTTGCTTGGTGGTGAATGCGGGTTCCCTGGGGTGCGTGCAAGTGTGCAGTGCGCACGCTTACCACTGTTTACCCCTCCTCGACACCCACTGGCTCCCTCCTCAATCCCCTGCCCGCCGTGCCCCCCCCCCCCACCACCACCACCTCTCTGCGCCCCATCACCCCAGTGCGGCCAAACCAAAAATGTTTCTGTCGCCCCGATCCACGCCTCTCACTCGGCCACGTTTGCCCAGCCCCCGCGCCAGGGTCCCCCGCCACCTGCTCCCACGACGAAGCACGCAGACAGCGACCCTTGCACAAAGGTCCGTTTGTCCGGCTTGGCCGCCCGCGCTCCACATTCCCACCCAAACCCACCCAAATCGCATTTCCCCTCCTCGCACCACTACCACAGACTACCACGCTTTTCCAACGTTGCAACTGAATTCCGCAGGCTGTGTCTGCGAGCACCTCCGATTAGCACGGTTGGCAATGTACGGTGCGAAAGATGTTCAACATACATACATGTGCACATACGAGACAGGAAAGAAAACGCTCGCAGGAAAGTTGTGCACGTTCAACGGCGGTGTAAATTGCTCCTAAAATGACGGATGCCACTAATTAACTGTTTTTTTTTACTCCAGAGACTAGAACCAACTGTGTGTCGAGTGTGTACTGCACATCCTAAAAGCATGAACACATTTTCAATTACAATTAGCAAAGTGTAGCACAAAACCCAGTTTCCGCGATGCTGTAATTCCTCGTTCAACGTGGTAAATGCGTTCCTGAAATGTCGATTTAAAGCTTTCGTGACTGCAGGGATTCATCATCTTGGTTCTTTCGGTAAAGTCACGTAGAAGGGAAATAATAAAATCATAATAAAACATAATAAAATACAATTCTCACGACGTTTCGGCCACAACGCAAGCAGCCGTCCTCAGGTGAAGAACAGGTCTGTCGGAAAGACAGCGTCTGAATGGCGCTGTCTTTCCGACAGACCTGTCTTTCCGACAGACCTGTTCTTCATCTGAGGACAGCTGCTTGCGTTGTGGCCGAAACGTCGTGAGAATTGTATTTTATTATGTTTTATTTTTATTATTTTATTATTTCCCTTCTACGTGACTTTACCGAAAGAACCAAGAAGATGAATTCCTGAAATGTGTTAAGCAAAAACACGTTGTGTGAATACGCGCTAGGTGAGGTCTCACCACTGGGCGCCAAACTAAAGAACAATATGTATCCAAGTGCTTGAGAGCCCAAACGAGCAGTGCATCTTTCTAACTTGAACTCCAAATCTACTATTCCCAAGGTGGGCTCAGTTATAACTGTGTATTTAAATAATTAATGCTTTTTCCACAGCTGGCACACAACTTTAATTTGCAGCATCTTATTTATATACACTTTCTTTTCTGGATGACAACATTCAACCTAATTAAAACGCAACATTTCGAAGAAAAAACACTGCGCACATGTTCTAAGGAGTTTACTGTCCCTTCACCAAACTGGAAAGGGCAAAATGAATATTTGACAGAACTAGACAATTCAAAATGAGCATGTTTTCATGACACGAGAGATTACCACCTTTCAGACGTAACATTTTTTTAAAGCTTTTATGCGAATTTATTTGATTATTTATGAGAGTTCAGTAATTTGTAATTTTAGTCCCATAAGCATGCTCCTGTGCATGTGACAAAATCAGTAAGGAGAGGTTGCGCGTTGCAATTTATTACAGTATCTTGGCACAATTAGCATAGCTGTACACACTCGGCAAGATCCCCCTGGAGAGTTGAGCAGAGCAATAGCAGGAGCATCAATGCACAAGCTGCAGCACGTGTTCAGTAGTTATTATGCCTTGCGGCCTTTCGGGCTGCGCTGTATTACACGGGTCCCTGAGGCAAAGATGCTGAAAATCCTGCACCCGCTGCTGCCATCTTCACCTTCCCACATTCTCTCCCCCCCCCCACCCAACCTTCATGACACCGCTCTCCTCACAAAGTAGCGTTCAGTATTTTTCCTTTGGTCTCATCACCATCTGTTACAACTGCTTATTTTTTAAGATCTGGCAGAAACCACACGTGCGAGTCATCACATGCCAAGACACAAAGCACGCGACAACAAAAATAAAACTTCCACCGTAAATAGGCACAAAGGCAAAACACACTTCTCCTGAACACACAACAACAACAGCGAGCAGATTTGTGATGTTTTTACAACAGAGGTGATGTTTTACCCAAACCAGACAGTGCGCCTCATTTCAGACTGGATTGTCTGAACAAATTAAAGAGCTCCAGTGACATGCCTCAGCAGCAAGGTGAAAAACCATCCAGAGGGAATGCCGTCAGGTTATCGCTCGACTTACCCGAAATTTGAAACGTGCTGGGCAGCAAGGGAAGTGACAGGTGTCTGAGTACTGAAGTGGCACCAGGCTGCAAGCCAACTCATCACTGAGATTTAAAGGCGGTCACCCATGCTGATGTGGGTTTGGACCACCCTTTTCTTCTGTGGAAAGAAAACAAAGAGCAGATTAAAACATTATTGAGAATACCTACATTGCAATATGAATGCATTGTATTGTAGCTTGTAAACTCTTCAACATTGTTTCACACCAGCTAAATCAAATACAGAAAATAGATATTTTCAAAAAAGATTTTTAAGTGCAATAAAAAAATTGTAAATTGTGCAGGACAGTATTTATGAGAGATTACATAGTTACATTGTTGGCATCCTTATTATATGGTAAACCATGCTATGATGTTGAAACATTTTGGTCACAATAGGTTTCCCGTGTTTTGGGTTCCGTTCCTGAAGAAACTCCCAGCACGTGGAGCGAAACGTCAGACATGGTACAGAACAGCACGACGTACAACCCAAAAAACAGACAAGAGAGAGCTACACAACACAACCATAAAACATACCCAGTCGTATTTCAATCATAACCTTTCAAGTACAATGCCTCAAGTCAAATGCCACAGTTACATGGAATGATATTGCCTCTGCACTTTGTCAACCTCTCTTGATCAAATCTTCACAGTTTGGATGTTTACAATCATTGCGAACCTTGAATGTGTTTTTTTTTAAACAAAGCGGACAACTACAGTACAGCAGCTTCCTCAAATGTACTGCAACTGAATGTTTGCAGGTACAACAATTGGGCAAAGCTGTGGCGCAGTGGTTCGTGGAGTGCGCAGAGAACCATGGTAACTTGAGTTCGATTCGCAGCCACAGCTAGCATCAAGTGCCAAGTGATATCTGAACTTTCCCTGCACTGATCAGCGTGGTGATGCAGGCTCAAACAACCCCCATGACGACAACACGGGGAGGCCTTCATCTCCACGTGGATTGACTAAAGAGCTTGGAACTATTTTTATTATTGTTATTATAATTGATAGCTGCGATGACAGAATGGTACATGATGTACTCATTTTTATCTTTGTACCGTTTAAACTGTACTGAATAAATATGACATACATGTAAATGCTTTACTACAGTAGTGGATGTTTTTTTCTCCTGGATTATACTGGTTTGTATGAACATACCATGCAGGATTGAACTGCTGGTTAACATCAGACCAGCGGGTGAGGAGTATAATATTATAACCCTGTGAGCCCTTGAGCATTTTGAAAGCCCCCGAATGATACCTATGGCCCGGTAACTGATCTACATATCCCTATTTGAGAACCATTTACCCTCCTAGGCCATTGGAGTGCCCTCTCTCCAGCAAAAACGCTTAAAAAAAAGAATTTTTTGAGGGTGACTGAACATGGAAAACCGAATGAGAGTGTTATTGAACTGCTGGTGAGAAAAAAAAGATGGTTGGTAATGTTTTTCCACAATTGTATGAAAAACGTAAATAAAGTATTGTATTTACAGGGTAGTATCTACAAATATTCTACTTCAGTTTCATTGAAGGTCAATAAGCTATAATTAGGCAAATTGATCTAATACTGTAGTGCAAATAATTTTCTAATTTAAACAAATCTAATGATACGTTTTATATATCATCATTCATGCAAATGGAATCACATAATCACTGAGGAACTACAATCAAGTTGGAAGGCTGCCAGGCGTTTAGCCAGTACCAACAATTGCTCTGCAAATCTCTATATATTAAAATGCTTTGGCCATTTAGTGTTTACATATGTGGGGATAAACCAGAGGACCTGGAGAAACCCCATGAATGTGAGGGGGCAACACTCTATCTCATACAGAAGGGACAGATGATATTAGTCCACACTCTGATTTAATGCATTCTGCTGGAAAGCTATGAAGCCCAGGAGAAAGGAGTTTCACAACATTCTGATGCATATAGCTGACAACAGTTTTTGTACACTCGGAAATGCTCCAAATCAGTCATCGGTGTGCAGTCCTTGATTAACAGGCGGAGAAATAGACTCTTCAAAGCAACACCAACATGTGTTTTGTGAAGTGAAAATCTGTGGGTGATTCCAAAAGTTTAGAAAAAGACACGGGACAGCAGCAACCATTACAAAACCAAGTACTGTACTGTTCACAAAGGCTAGAGGTTTACCATCAGTACATGGTTTTATGAATACTGTACGAGAGTCGTACGGTAGCAATGTAGTAAACCCAAAAAAATGTTCAAGGAAATCAACCTCCACAGTGCACCTCGTCTAACGCGATTCACAACATGGTCCCTCCAATATCAAGACGGATTATTTTATTGGAGTTCGGCCGTACTCGCTAAATGCTCCAGAACGGCACGTGCCGTATGAAGTAAAACGGGCGTTAAATCTGAAAACCCACAGTGTGTACTCTGCTACCCCTTAAACTGCTTCCAGTACTGTGATATGTTGGGGCCATAGTTGTACAATTACATTATGGGGCAGTACTAAACACTACGTACTGTAGTTGTTCAGTATACACAGCATTAGGTCTTATATTTCAGAACATGAATTTAGAGATCTATATAGTTTCGCAGCATCTCCATAACAACAGCTGCATGTGGCACCATAACTCCATAAACAAATCCAACGAGACTATACTAACCCACATACACGCACAGTCCAAGTTCACGAGGACAATAACAATTCCCATTTAAGCCAATTGTCAGTCCACTGTCGGGGGGATATTTGGTCAAACATCACGACATTGGTCAGCGTGGGTTAGTGGAGGTTTGGGACCCACCAGGAGCGGTCCTGGTGGGTCTGCACCCTGTGGCCACGAACCAAACTCAGGGTCGCCGCCTGAATGCAGCAGAGTCGTCGTGCAGCACGCTAATCACCGCACTGCATCACTGCCCAACACCACCCCCGCCGCCCATGTTCATTATCCAAATGTAGGCCAATGGCTTTACACATTTCCACCAAAGTCTGAATTTGTATGTTACCAACAACTAAGGAGAAGCAATTATTGAGGGTCTCTTTCTTTTAAACAAAGAAAACGTGATTATCTCCCCTTAATCGAGCTGAAATGAGTATTGTTGGGAACGTGCTGTCAATGAAACACTACATATTTATACAATGTGGTTTCGTAAAACAGATTTCAAGCTGTTTGAACGCAGCTGTTCTACAGCCTCGCGAGGTATCTAGAAAACACATTTCTAGGTAAACTTTGACTACGCCAGCACACTGGCCTGGTTTTTAGTAAACAGTGTCATGGGATCGTTTTACAACTGTAAGGAAGCGATGCAGAAATGCCGGCTTAGCATCCTCCCCAGTGCTGATGCATCTTCTGAATAAGTACCTACAGCACATTACCAAGGGAGACAGGAAATAGATGCAGATCGGCAAAATTCATTTTCTGTTGGGAGCGAAGGACTACTGTATTGGACTATCCAGCATTATCCTGAGATAAAAAGAGAACAAAAGCCACACACCAGAAGACACTTTACAAATACCGTACTGTGCCCCCCCCCCTGTCTTAACTACACGATGCTAACAAATGCATACAAGTTAGCAGAAAGGAGAGCACACAGGCCCACGTTGTGTCTGTCGAGCAGAGCGTGTTTGATCAGGAATCACTTTGCAGCATTGGACAGCACAGCACCGTGTTGTGTGTCAAGGATTACGGGTGAATATAATTGACAGCCGTTCCTGTTTCAATTGCTCGTAGATAGGGTTAACACTTGGTTTTCCCAGGGATTGTCCTCTGTTAGAGGTAGCTGCTTCCCTGGGGAATCCCGTGATACTAACAGTCCCTATTTTACCAGTTGTGTAATAATACACCACTCATTAACATGTAGTTATCCTCTATACCGGTATATTTAGTGCGATATTATTATTCTGTGATACATCCTGGGTGTTTTTGTTCTTGTTGTAGGGTGGCAACCTTATTTTTGTACCTCAGAGAAGATATCAACTCCAGTCACATATTGGACCAACCTTGCAAATTCCTTTTGTCCGTGAAGATGTAAAATCCCCTATTGATGGCTTCTATTATTCATATTTATCCTCAAAAACGTATTCCTCTTATCCGCATGGCTATCTTTAAATAAATGTGGATTATTGATGAATTTGCCACCATTTCCAGATGACTCCTTTTATCCATGTAAAGATAAGATAATGGTTGGATTTAGCAGCTCCAAGAGACCGTTTCCGGGACAATCATCAGAAGATTAATGCAGATACAGTACAATAACATAATTAATTTGCCAACACTTCAGGGCGAATGCAATTATCCACATTCTTCATTTCTGAGGATGGATTAGAGACGCAAATAATAGGAGTAGCAGATACTAAGCCTCTGAGAAGAAGAGTTTAATGTTGCTACGCGATATCTTCATGACTATAAATGAATTAACTTCTTCACTTGAACTTGCATTTGTGGTGCTGGAATGCTACATTCTAGCCGGCATATATCCGACTCCAAAACTAAGACAAAGAGACTGTCAGCTTATACAAAGATCCCCCGTATAGCCTTAACAGACTGTAGGGGCAAGTGCTGTTAGGGTTCATAGCGCAGCGTGCTAACCGCTACACCACCGCTCCCCACACAAGGTCTACCACCTACAACCCCCCACAATCTCTGCTAACAGTGATGAGTAATCCACCAACACACACATATGAACCTCGGGGTCAAACTACGCATTGGTTACAGTGCGGGAACTTTCCATTCTTTTAAGACAATTACACAAACCACCACGACTTTGAAAACTGTAGGCAACGCAGAAGCATTTCTGTGACTGTCAGCTTCAGATACTATAGTTTGTAAAACAAGGTAGAGATGTATTTACCCAACAATGCCGACAATGGCTGAGTAGGTCTGATAGCAAGACGGTAAGAATCTCTGCAGATGTAAAATGGTGTTTGCAACTCATTCATATTTGAGAATATTCAGTGACAGATAAGGGCTCTTCTTTTATTGTGTCAACATGACATAACCGCTGCCTGCATGCAGAAGGAACAGTCTCCCATGCCGAAGCCTTCAGCAGTAGCCCAGAGTTACGGCAGTATGGGGGCAGAGGAGCTATTAATGCGGAACGAGTGCCTCGCCTCAATGTGTGGCACAGCGGAACGAGTGCCTCGCCACCCTTGAGTTTA